AGAGGGGAAAATAAACGATTAGTTGGTGATTTAGGGGGGTGGGACACACACAGTGGTGGGGGGGGTTGGTGCCTTCCAGCCCCTTAGCTGGGGGGGGGGATGTTAAGCTGGCACCAGGCCAGCACCCCCCAAATCTTAGGGGTGGGGAGGGGGCCCCAGAAACAGAACCAACAGAACCAACAGAACCAGCCCCCCCTTTGCTGCCCCGCAGAGCCCCCCCATCGAGGGCGGGGGGCACGGGCAGGGGGACCCCCCACCCCCCTCCTCCCCATCCCGCCCCAGGATGCTGCAGCCTGATGTAAAGTCCCAGGAATTTGGGCTCCGGCCGTAGCGACCGTTTCCAGGGAAAACAGGCGGCAGCGCCGGAGCCGGGAGGCCCCCGCCGAGGTGGGGGGGGGGTTGGGGTGCCCCCCTCCCCTCCAGCCATCGGTGACACGAGTGTGGCCGTGCTCAGCCCCTCGCCGTGGGGTCGGGGGGGTGGTGGTGGGGTGTATATTTGGGGTGTGTGAGGGGGTCCTCACCCCCTCCCCTCCCCAAATTCCCGGTTTTCCCAGTGTCTTCTGGGACCTGTACTGTGCCGCCCCGGATCGCCGGGAGACCTGTGAGCATTCCAGCGAGGCCAAAGCCTTCCATGACTACGTGAGTGCCACGGGGTGGGGGGGCCGGGGGGGTCTGTGCCCCCACATCCCCCCCGGGGTTCCCATGTGCTGCCAGCCCCGGCTCTGTGGGTGACCTATTTTGCAGGGCGGTGAGGAGGGGGGGGGTAAATCCCTGGGGGCCCTGGCTCAGTGCTCCCCCCTCCCCCCCAGGGACCCCAGCGTGCCCTGGCGTGCCCATCCCCCACTGTCACCCCCCCCCCCAGGGGACAGGGACACCCCCCAAGCCCCCTCTCCCACAAAACCCTCTCCCCAAGCCCCCTCTCCCTGCCCAAATGGGAGCACCCAGCTGGGTGGGGGTGTCCCCCCCCTCCTCACCCCGTGTCCTGGGGGGGGTCACTGCGATGCTGGGGCTCAGTGGGACCCCCCCACACACTGTGGGGACCCCCCCTCGGGCAGCTCTGCTCCTTCTGGGAGGCAGCTCCAGCGGGTTAATCATTGGCACAGAGTCAACAGCCCCCGGTGTTCCCAGTGTTCCCGGTGTTCCCGGCGTGTTCCCGGCGTGTCCGTGTGCCTGGGACTGCGGCAGTGGGAGGGGGGCACGGGGGGGGCACAGGGGGGCGGGGACAGGAGGGGCACAGGGGGCAGGGGGGGCACAGAGGGGGCACCTGGGATGGGGAGAGGTGGCTGGGATGCAGGATGCTGTGGGGTGTGGGGTGAGGCAGGATCCGTGTCCTGTGGGATGCAGGATGGTGTGGGATGTGATGAAGGGTCCACAGCCCCACAGGCCACGGGTTGCTGTGGGATATAGGATGTCTGTGAGATGCAGGATGCTGTGGGGTGTGGGGTGAGGCAGGATCCGTGTC